CCCCCGCCTCTTAAAGGAGCCGCCCCCCCCACCAGCCCGCCTTTTACGCGGTTTTCCCCACTTCTCGGCCCCCCCCCACCCCGAGCGCCGCCATCTCCCGGTGCCGCCCCCTCGCAGCCTCCCCGCGGCCCCGTAATCGCTCCCCGACACTCCCGGCCTCGTCCCCCCGCACACACCGAATCCCCCGCGGCCTGGCTGCCGGCGGCACGGCCCGTTTCCCGGCGGCGCAGCGCTGTACGGAGCACTCAACCCGCCATGGGCGCCGCCATCTTGGGCGCCCCGCCTCTCCTTGGGTACCGCCTCCTCCGCGAACCGCGCCCCCTCCTCCTCCTCCTCCTCTTCCTCTGCCCCGGGGCTCTCCCGCTTTCCCCACCGCCCCCCCGGGGTTAACGCGACACCGGGGCCGCTCTGAGGCCTCACGGTCCCGCGGTTCCGAGCGATTCAAACGGTTCGGGGACCCCCGGTGCTGCCATCGCCCCCCAAAAACCCCCCCGGACGCTCAAGATGGCGGCGCGCGGGACCCGGATGCGGCGGCCCCTCCCAGGATGGCGCCCCGGGGGCGGTGGAAGGGGGGGAAGGACCCGGATGTCGGGGCACGGCGCCGCCATGACACCCCGCACGTCCCCTCCCAAGATGGCGCCGCCCGTCCGGCGGAACCCGTGATCGGTGTCGGCCCCCACGGAGCCCCCGCGCTCCCTCCCCTCCCTCCTGCCGCTCCTCGCTTCGTTCCGCCCTTACCGGGTGCGGCTCCGCTACCGCAGAGGCTCCAAGGCGGCGGAGCGGCCGGTGCCCGGCTGCGCGGGGGAGGGGTCACAAGATGGCGGCGCGCTGCTGTGGGAAGGGGGGGGGTCCAAGATGGCGCCGCCCGGTGCCCGGATCTTCCTCCTCCTCCTCCTCCTCTTCCTCCTCCTCGCCGCGCGCGCAAGGCGGCGGCGCCTGCCCGGGACGCAAGCGGAGCTTTGGCGGCTCCGCGCGCTCTTCGCTCAGGCCCGGCCGCCCCCTCCTCTCGTCCCCCCTCCGGGACAGCCCCGATGCGGCGCCCCAAGATGGCGCAGGCGGGAGCCCGCAGCTCCGCGGCGGCCCAAGATGGCGGCGGCCGCGGGACCCGGATGCGCCGCTCTCCGCGCCCGCTCCGCCGCCGCTCCGCACCTGCAGCCACCCGCCGCCCGCCGACCCCGAGCGCCGCTTTCCGCCGCCGCCGCCGCTCGCTCCGGGCCGCCGCCGCCGCGCACAAAGCTGAGAAAGGCCCGCCCGCCGCGCCGGCTACTGGCGCTTGGGAGCCGCCATTTTGGACGCGTCTCCTCCACCCGCCACAAAGATGGCGCCCGCCAGGCCCCGGATGGTGGCGCTTAACGGCTACGGCGCGCACTGCGCGTGCGCGGCCGCACCGAGCGTATCGGCGCATGCGCGGCTCAGCCTCCTTCTTGCGCATGCGCTTTCTCCGCCTTTCTCGTAACGGATTTTTCTTCCAACACCCGAATTTGGCGCTTTTCGCCTCAGTTTTGCTCTTCCGGGACTCCAAAATGCTCCAGAGCGGGTGGGGAGAGGAGAGGAGGAGGGAGGGAGTTGTCACCAAGGGGTTCGGGGTGAAGGTGCCAGCGTTTGGGGAGGTTTTGAGGAAGATTGAGGGAGTTTCGGGGTGAAACAGCCCCCAGGTGTGACAATAAAACCCCCAGGTGTGACAATAAAACCCCCAGGTGTGACAAGGACCCACCCCCGAGGTGTTCTGGAGGAGGATCCGGTGGCTTGGGGTCCCATTTGAGAGAGGATTTGAGCCCCCCACAGTCACAAAATGAGTCTAGGGGCTCCAGGGTTTTTTTGGCGGGAATGCCGGAGCTCCCAGTCCCTCCCAGTTCCATCCCAGTCCATCCCAGTGACATTTTGGCGGTCTCCCAGTCCCGCCCCGCCGCCATTTTTGGTGTGGCGGAAGCTCCGCCCCCTCGCGGTTACCGTGGTGACGGCGCCATCTTGAGCGTGGCGGAACCGCCCCTCACGGAGGCGGGAAAAGGGGCGGGGCCTGAGCGCCTCTTTTCCCCGCCCCGCTCTCGCTATGACGTCATTGGGGTGATGACGTACTACGCGCGAACGGTGTCGCGGTGTGACGTCACAGCTGCCAGGACACTCCCGAGGGCTGGGGGGGGGGGGAAGGGGGGGGGGGGACACGCGCGGTGCGAAACGGGGGT